TTAGTAGAGTTTTTGGATGGGGTTTATGTTACCATTCCCAGTCATTCTTTAATTGCGTGACTAAACTTTGATTTCTTAATCCGAGGTTACTCCTGTAAAGCTTTATGCACTCTGTATTGTGATATTAACAAGGAGAGCAACTACATCCCTGTGAAGAACAGTTCTGCTTATGATTATATGAAGAAAAATAATCAAGCATAGGTGACTTGCAATCAGGAAGGCTGAATTTGTTGCCTGATTAGTGCCCTGTGATTGTTAAGTATGTCTTGGCTTGTGTTCGTCGTCTGCCTAATAATTCAGACAAAGTTAATTTTCTTAATGGTTCATTGTGTTTATGAGGTGCATGTTTGCTTGTTGTCTTTCTCATGATTGAACCCACATAATATGCCAGTTAGGGATATGCTAGCATTGTGGAATTAAAACATTGTCTTCCTTCTGTTTCTCACTTACCAACCTGTTAGATTAATTGCCTCTGTGGGTACAGGTGTCCAGCAAAGACAACATTTTGTGTCTTTAAACATGTTTATATTATTCAAGCATAATTCTCGTACTTAAATATTGCATGTTCTCATTAACTGTTCATGCTGCAGCCTTTGGTATGCATTATTGTTTGTCTTTGTCTCTTTCTTCATGACCACATGGATGATGAAAACAAGAGAAATGTTCACAGTTAAATGTCACATATTCATAACTCACATCATGAGACTACAATAATAAAAACATTTGGATTGTGGTCTTCTGAGTTATGAAATCATGTTGACTAGTATGTGGGTACCATCATAATGGAGGAAAAGTGATATCCATTGACAAGACTGCACAGTGTTAAAGTCCAAAAGTCCACAGTGTGAATGATAACTTCTGTGAAGACATAAAACCTGATGTAAGAAAAACGTTTATTGTTGTGGTGTCTATGTACAGTATGAGACACAGATGCATTGGCATTACCGAACCTTTATACTGTCAAACTACACTACAGAAATGCCAAGGCTTGTTGGGTTTAAATGCAGCTGCTCACAGAAATCCACAGTACTTGCTCATATTACCTTCAAATGACCACAGATATAGATGTGCAAAGGCCTGTTCTTTCTTCTGATTGTTAATATATGACAGTTGATTCTGTCTATTGAAAATACTACTGAACCCAGCAATTAATAGTAATCTGATCTCTTAAGCTTTGGCAGTTTAATGCAAGTATGCCAAGCCTGTCCAATCAGCTTGTGGTGTGCAGAGAGTCAAGGAAACTGTTTGCAGGTAGTGTAGTCCTGACAGTCTATACAGACTATATACACTCTGTATAGTTATTATTTGCAAATTAAGTATGATTTCATTATAATGTTAAGTCATCTGGTAATGACTCTTTATTCCATGCACTTATGTGGTCTCTCAGGAAAAATCAGTTCTTTGATATCTTTATCCCTCACCCCAATTCTTCCTTTACTTTACACCTGCTCAGCCTTTATCTGCTTATTTCTAATGTATTCCATGCCTATCCCTTTTATTTGGCGCTGCCATCAGCATTCCTCAACCGCATCTTTGTTGCTTTTCCTTTATGTTAAAAAACGGCCATGTTATATATGTAGTATATCATTTCAGCATTTTCCCTGAGTCTTGTGTCTTCTGTGATTACAAGTAAAGAAACGTGCATTGAACTGCCTTCTCTGTATCAGATGTGAATGCATGTACTTGTATTATTATTGAATGTTGCATCAGGGCTGTCTGACAATTACTTATATCTGTAAGACATTGAGAGAAACTGCGTCCTCTGTAAGTGCATGCAAACCTACATTAAACTGGCTTTTTTGTGTAATGTGTCTAAGTAATATGTTGGCTCCTGAAATACTCAAAACATGTATAAGGCAAGCACAATGTTGGACTACTAAAACTATGGTCACTGGTTTGGATCCAAGTAGAAGCATATATGTACGACTGCAACTATGTCTACATAGGCAAGGGGCTTTGCAAGGAACTGGTCTCCCATTGGAATAGCTCCACCAGGTGTCTTGCAGGTAAATGCAGATTTTTCATACTTTTGCATCCCTCCTTTGGCTTAATTATTCTGGTCAGAAATCGATATCAAAGAGGAAAGACAAGGATAACACATTGAGATGAGATGTAAATGAAAAATGAAGTTAACTGGAGTGGACTTGGTGGTCCCAGAATAGAACAGTGGGCCATCATTCACAATGTTCTTTGTTCAGTCCTTGGCTGAATCCCTGTGCAGATTTTGGTGTGCATCTGCCTTCATCTCTACCAAAGATAAAACTTTGGAAATGTGAAGAATACCAGTATTTGAACATTCTGCTGGTAAATAGTAACCTGTTTGTCTGCATTTATTCTGTGCTTGTGTAGGTAGTTTCTTTGCCTTGGGCTGATCCCCCATCAAGGTGTCCTACCGACTGGTCCACCGAACCTCCTATCCAGTGGGTAACAGGGGCTCTTTCCCCTTGGGCAAAGCAGCAGGGACATGAAGCTGACCACTCATCTCCAGCTAGTGCCAAGGTCAAGAAAATATGGCTCTATGCATCCACTCCCCCATATGCTTTCATGGTGTAGCGCTTAGTTAAGCAACTTTAATTAGGTATCTGGCCTTTACAGCAGGCTTGGGAACCTATTTGGAATTGCTGCATAGGGTGCTCTTTTGTTATATTCGGGGATTTGAGATTGCATAAATTGAACAGAACTTAATGAAGATTAACAAGAGTTTTATCCAGTGGAACATCAGGGATGCAGATATGAAATATGTACCAGCATGGTTTCAAGTAAATGCTTGTAATTCTTGCACATTGCCTACTGGAATGAGACTGTGTAGCGTGGTAAATAGGTGTCAACATTATGGAGGAACCATTCGTCTTCCAGGCAGAAAGAAGGTTCAGAAAACAAGAAGAATTGAGGATGTTTGAAAACTGATGAGAATATGTAAACCAGAGAAGGATGTAGTAAGAGAAATGTAGAAACTAGCATCAATTTTTACTGTTCATGTAATATTTTTGGGAAGATTAAATAAAGAAAGAGTCATCGTTTACATTCCCTACAGAACGGACAATATTTTGTAAGATGAGGCACCGACTAAATAATTAACATTAATATTACTACATCTACATCATGAGCCGCCAAAACAGTTTATTATAGATACACAAAATATAGAATACTCCAATTTGTCTGTGAGAACACAACAAAATCACAAAAACCAACAACTGACTCGATGATGTAAAGCATTAATCGAAGAATTTTATTCTTGTTGTGACGGTTTTAATAAAGAAATTGTATAAAGAAAGATATAGTTGTATATGAAATGTGTAACCACACTCTACATGGTCTGCAAGCTGATTTAACTGTTCAGTGGCTAATTTTCATATTACTAATGTAAAACCTCATAGCTGTACTGAAGGTGGTTTAGTTATTTAGTAAAATGTCATCTGCTTATGATCATATTCAGTGACTGGCTTTGTTTTGTAGTGCTGCATCTTGTTACTGGTCCTAGGAAGTAAAAATGTTGAATTTTGTTACTAAAATCATCTAATTCAGCTGGAACTTTTTTTTTTTAATTTCATTTATTCTTGTATTCAAGTAGATCCAATTACAGGGTTATAAACAAGTTGACACACCACTGGATATAGAATGCGTCAAAAATCAAAACAAATATTCCAATCAATCACTGGAACAAGTCAAAATAACATAATATAAAACATAGACAACACAGTCACTAAACATAATAAAATGTGACTACAGAAAGACTTAAATACTAGATGTAAAAATATTTTAACCATTTATCTTATAAAATTCATCCAGTTTATAAAAACAATGCATATGAATGGATATTATCAATAAACAATACAATATCAAATAATGTATATTACATCACTCACACATCAAAAGAAAAACTAAAAACTTCTAACATGCATGAACAATAAATGGAATAAATAACTTCTCACAGAAGTGTACTAAAATTATTATGGTAATAAATGGATTCCTAAATAAATAAATTCATAAAACAACAGAGATTATATGTTAAAATACATAAAAGTCATAGTTAGTATGTATGCAGATCTAAAGTAGATGATTATTTATATATTTTTAGTTAGTTAATAGGACTTGTCAAGGATAATTTTAGATACTATTTATAAGAACCAAGATCACCCCTTGTGTTCCATTCATAATATTCATTTAAAGAATAAAATGAACCAGCAAGAAGAAACTCTTAGAGCCTGTTTGAATTTAGTAATATCATTTAATAGATTCCTGTTGCCTCGTGGTAGATTACTGAATATCATAATTCCTGTATAATATATACCCTTCTGCACTTTAGCTAATTTATTACTTGGAAAATGTAAGTCAAAACCTTGTCTGGTGTTAATGCTGTGTATAGCAGAATTAAATTTAAATACATCTAAATTCTTAACAACAAAAATTGATGCAGAAAATATATATTGAGAATATAAGGGCAGAATATTTAACTGCTTGAAAAATGGACGACAAGAGTCCTTATTTCTTGCCTTCATAATAATTCTCACTATTAGTTTTTGGATTTTGAAAATTAAATTACTGTGAGTCAAATTGCCCCAAAATATTATTCCATATGACATAATGGGATGTACATATGCAAAATAAATCATCCTTAAACTCTCCTGAGTCTCCTATCCAAATGGTTGTAATACCTGTATGTATGGATTGTTGAATGATAATAAAAATGAAAATGAAAATAACTGCAGAAAGGGTTCTAATAGAATAACAAGCCGCATTCAACTTGGTTACAAACTAGGGTAAAGCTGTGTTAAGTGTTCTATTTCTACTACCAGAGAGTTGGTTAAGTAGGAAGATGGTTCATAGGGAAATGGCTATGAAGATGTCGGTAGATGAGGCTGGGACAGGAACGTGTCGATATTTGTTATGTCGAATTTTAGTGTCTGCAGTTTCTGTTGCCCAAGTGTTCAATTTGCTACTCAGAAAGCCCGCCAAAGAATATAAATTTAAATTGACACCGATGTTCGTATGGCATAAACGTGCCGCGCTATCGTGTGAGAAATTCTTAAAACAATCACATGCGTTGTAGACCCTGTACACATCGTACAGATCGGTACAGATGTACAGATTGCAGTATGAAATGATTGGAGGTTTGTAGTGTATAGGTAAACGTGTGGGCTTATAATTATGGTGCGAAAACTAAAGTTTCATGAGCAAAAACTTTTAAAGAAGGTTGATTTCATATCATGGGAAGTTGACAACAATCTGCACGAAGTTAAAGTTATGAGAAAATACTGTATTCAGAAAAGAGAAGACTATACGAAGTAAGTGAAAAACTTTTATTACCCGGTATCATATTCTTTGACACGTGCACAATGAGATCTGTAAGGCATGTGAGTATTATTCCTGCGTAATTTACATATAATGCCGGATTCTATTTATAAAACTTGTATCTGTTTACGTTTCAGAATAACATAACCTTTCTAATACACCGCATATTATTAAAACAATGGCACACAACATTGTTTCAGGTACAATAAATTGTCCCGTCAAATACGTGAACTAGCAAGGAAAATAAAAGATTTGGACCAAAAGGATCCATTTCGGATAGAGTCAAGTGCTCAGTTACTAGAAAAGTTGTAAGTATTACAAAATTAATGTGTCACAGCCTTATAATTTTTAGTAGGGAACAAGGTTAATGTTTTGTTTTACAGGTATATGTTGGGTCTGATTCCAACAAAATGGGATTTGTCGCTCTGCAATGATGTGACTGCTTCATCCTTCTGCCGCCGTCGACTCCCTGTGATAATGGTCAAGAACAAGACCTGTGGTTCACTTCGCATGGCCACAAAGTTTATACAACAAGGACATGTGAGAGTTGGTCCACAAGTTGTGAAGGACCCAGCATTTATTGTTGCAAGGTACGTCATTTTCATGCTGCACAAGTGGGGAAAAGTGAGGATTATTATAGCAGCAACTAATGCATATATCCTGCCAATTTTATAATTTTCATAAGTGAGCAAGCTGGCTCAAATGGTAAAGCTCTAGACATGTATTTGGGAAAGGCTAATTTTGAATTTCAGCCCAAAACTGGCCATCTTGATGGAAATCATGATTTTCTGTAGTCCCTCCAGGTAGATGACTTAATTGTATCTCTTGAAAATCAGGTCGTGACTGCTTCCTTCCACATTCCTTCCCATTTATTCTTTACTGGTCGTTTTATCATTGAATACTTTATAATGTGATGTATAAAGAGGACCAATAAATAAACCACAAATAATAAAAAATAAAATTATTCCATGGAACAGGACTTTTCTCAAGAAGCTGTAGTTTTTTAGCTAGTCCATAAATTCACTGCGTGTTCTGGAATATGAAGGTTCAGTAATATGTTCATAAGAGCCCATCACTGGACCCTATCTCAAATGAGATGAATCCACTGCATGTCCTCCCATGCTAATTCTATAAGAGTGTAAAGAAATATATTTAAGTGAATTGGAACTTTATTATGAAATAATTAAAAGGTACTTAAAATGTTACAGGTTTTTTTATTTTGGTTTGCCATCATCAGATCGTTATGTTTTAAATGGGGGATGAAGTGGGGGTTTGTAATCTGTCCTGATATTTGTACTTATAACAGTTACACATGTATGTGATATTACTGTCTGTGAATCAAAGAGTTAACAATTCTCTTGAAGTTGCTTAATGACTTCTCATAGGAACTGATTACTAATTATGAGCCATTATTTACAATGGAAACCCTGCCTCCACTCACAGTTCCCGCCCACGTTCCACCCATAGTTCACTGCAAGTACGTTCATGTGAATATAGTGACTTGTATCAAGCTTCTGTAACAGATGTAACACACAAAGTAGTATAAATCACACTGATACATGTGGACGCTACATCACAGATTCTAAATACATGCAACTTTTTGATACTATGTACATCAGTGATAGTTTTGAATTGACCATTATAATTCAGTGTGAAACTTTTATTATGGTAGTGGCACATAAACTGTATATGAACCCATATCTGATTGTTTTCCTATCTGATAATGTATTTGCACTACCAGACTCAATGAAAGTAGTCCTTTTTGTAACACACTGGGATAGGAGCTGTGTCATCTCTAGTTCCTGCACCTATGACATTATGCTGGTAGCACAGATCTCATCTCATTATGTTGGTCACACAGTCTCACACTTATATCATGAAATGAATTTCACCAGTATGTATTTATGAATGAAAGAAAGAATGTTTGTTTGAGTTTGATATATACCATAATTTCTCTTTGTTCTTCAGTATTGTAAACAGGGTTGAAATTGAGCCAATTTTGTTCCCTTGATGAGCTGTTGACTTCGTACAGGTGTGTTATTTCAAGTTTTGTAGTCACGTCATAGTTGTGTTCTGTGACATCATGATCCAGTGTAGATCAGTGGAAGCTCAGGTGAAGGGAAAATTTGTGTGGCAGGGAGGGGAAAACACTGTACAGTGTAGCTGATACCATATGCAGTTCTCAGTCGAAACTTGGAAGGGGAAAACTGCTCACAGTTGCTGGAATGTGAACTTTCTCCTAAACAAGGGTACGGCAGAGAGGATGGGTTATCAGGACCTTATGGGCTGCTTTGGAACCAAAACTGGAAGTATAGTTCATATAAAAAGATGCAGAAAAACAGTGGTGGCTAGTTAGGAATTACTCGTGATGAACATACAAGAGAAACACCCAATTTTATTCAGTGGTTTTCCACATGTTAGAAGTTGTGCTCGTACTACCGCAGTTTCACTGTAGTAACATTCCAGAGAAAACTGCTGTCTCCATCTTCAGGAGCAGTGTGGCAGCAGGGTTCACGAAACAACTGTGTTACATCCCAGAAAACTGTAACCTGTATACATATCTTTTGGTGTGGCATTTTATGATTCGTGTGGAACCTGTAAGCACAGATATGATTGCAGTCTTTGTGTGCATATTGACAGGAATTTGGAGGACTTTGTAACATGGGTGGATACTTCAGCCATCAGAAGACATGTCATGGAGTACAATGAAATGGTAGGTTCATCATTGATTGTATTCAACTTTATTCTCTGTGCTTGTACTGCAAAGTAACATTGTGCAGTCAACAGAATGGAAAATGTTAATGCTACAAACAGAACAACTGAATAAGATTACAAGGTGATAGAAAGGATACAATATTTTTCCTTAACAAACTCACTGACTAACTTTCAAGATGACATCCAGTCTGTATTATGGAAGTAATATAGTTCTTCTTGAATGGTTCATGTGTATATATACATACCTCATCATACTGGTAAAACTACTGCAAGAAATGTAACAAAGACTTTCTTAAAGATGTCTTTATCTGACTTCAGTGCAATCAGTGAATGAGATGTTAATGTTTGGTGCAGTGTTGCATCCCTTTGTGAAGTCTCGGAAGCTTCTATGGAAATGGATGTCATATTTGCTTTTATAAAACCTTCCCAAATTTAGGAAGTCATGAACTTACCCCTAAGACCCACTTTTATTAAAAGAGAATAATTATTTTTCATATTATCTGAATATTGTGGTTTGTAATTAACCGAGTTGTGAACAAGAAACTCAGAGCACTGAACGTTTGTGTCAGTACAATAAAATTTACTTTTTAGAACTATTTGCTTTTTATATTGTATATACTATATAACAATGTTTGCTTTTTATATGGATGTTTTACTAACCCTTCTTATGGAATAACGAAACTACATCAGCATTGAAAGCATAAAGGAGATCTAAAAGAAAGCTGTTGTCAACAGAATTATAACAAATTGCAATGTTTAAATGTGTGTGTATGTGCATCAACTTGTACAGGAATATTGAGAACATAACACTGACTTTCCGGCTTCTTTTACAGCGTGATGACTTTGAGATGCTCTAGAAGTGGCATGAGTGGAAATTATACAGGTTTGTGATAGTTCCTTTTTCAGAAAATCAACTTTCAGTAGTAATTGCAAAAATACCAAGACTAACAGAAATATTTTCATAGTACAGAAATGGCTCTTGCAGAGTTAAATGGCAGAAGAAGTTTTAGAAGGACTTTCACAGACATTACATAAGACAACACTATGAAATTCTAGAACTTGATAGGACCAATTGTGGCTTGCACTAATGCAAATTGTATGTAGAAAATTTATCTAGTTTATATTCCTTTGTGGACATTCTGAATTGTACCCAAACAGATGCCAAAATGAATCTATATGTTGTGTGATCTGGGGCCCCATCTTGAACCTGTGCCCTTGGATGCTGGTGCCACTGGACTTGGTTTCAAGATGCCTTCAGATGCTGCACTCTGTGGAAGTGTCCACATCTCTTTCCTCACTCGTGTTAGAAGGGCACTGAAAAGTTTATGTAATTGTAATATTTTGTAAAGAGAAGAATAAATGTAAAATATACGTGACTTCTGCATTTAGTCCTTAGATTAAAAATGCGTGGAGGTATACCTCTATTCCCCATATGTTTAAATCGTATGATGCTGGATTAACCATGTAACCACAGGGAAAACTTTTTTTTTACCTTATATGACACTGTTTAGGTGTTTGGCCATTACAGCACGTTTGGACAACCAATTCAGAAGCGGTGGATCATCTGACTTTTTTTCAGAATATTCATGGATTGCACATTTCATAACAGTAATCTGTCCAGTGGAACATCATGAGTGCAGAGATAAAACTCTTACCAGAAAACACTTGGAAGTGTTGAAGATCACTCTCTTGTGGGCTCTGATGCTGTGTAGTCTGGTAGAAAGGAACCCTTCATCTTCAGGGCAGAGGAGTGGTAAAGATGTAAGCAGCAGGTTTCTCTGAAGTGATAGCTTTCTACCAGACTGCATGATGTCACATCCGTGAATACTGTGTCTGTATAATTTACCTGTTGTTTTGTTTGGATCTCAAACTGGGTCTCTTCCTCTTTTAGAAAAGAGCAAGAGTTGGGGGTGTTTGAAAACAAAGTGATGAGAATATTTAGGCCAGCAAGGGATGTTGTAACAGAATCATAATTTATACATGTAATATAATAGGAAGATTGAATGAGGAAATATGCAGGATATGAGTGAAACAGTGCATACAACATTTTCAACAAACCTCAGAAGACCACGTGGAAGGTCTTGGTATACAGGGTTTGTCCGAAAAGTAATGTCAGTCATGGATGAATGTCAGTGAGTCGATTAAAAAACATTGATTAAATCGCTACAACACATTAAAAGTCTTCAAAATAGGCTCCTTCTGCATCGATACATCGCTTCCAGCGAGATTTACAGGCATCGAAGGCGTCATGGTAGGCCTCCTCCAGAATGTCCATTAGAGCCTTGGTGCAAGCCTCTTTGACTTCGTCAACTGTCCCAAAATGATGTCCTTTCATGGGAGTTTGCAAGCGCAGAAACAAAAAAAAAAAGTCTGGGGGAGCCACGTCAGGACTGTAGGGCGGCTGGGGAACCATTGGCACCTTTGAATCGGTCAGGAAGCGGGTCACGAGGAAGGCAGTGTGGGCTGGAGCATTGTCATGGTGAAGTTTCCAATCGTCTGCGATGTCGGGCTAGATGCGATAAACCCTTCGTTTGAGTCTCTTTAGCACTTCCACATAGAATTTGGCGTTGATGGTTGTACAATGTGGTACAAACTCATGGTGGAGGAGCCCCCTGATGTCAAAGAACACAATGAGCATGACCTTAACCTTTGACTTGCTCATTCTGGCCTTGGGGTGAGGGGATGCCAAGGTGTGCCACTCGGCACTTTGCCTTTTTGTTTTGGGGTCGTACACAAGCACCCAAGTCTCGTCACCTGTGATGACATTGTCTAAAAAGTGAGGGTCACTTTCACACAAGTCCAAAGGTTCTTGGCACGTTTCAACTATGCGCGATTTTTGGTCATCCGTTAACACTTTGTGCACCAGCTTTGCGCACATTTTTCGCATCTGCAAATTGTTCGTCACAATCTTGTGAACGGTACGTTTTGGAATGTTTAATGTCTGTGTCATTAAACGAACACTCAAACGACGGTCTGAGTTCAAAAGTTCTCTCACACGCGTCACATTTTCGTTGGTGGTGCTTGTTGATGGCCGTCCAGCGCGGGCTTCATCGCCGACCTCTTCGCGGCCTTTTAAAAAGACCTTGTGCCACCGGTAGACCTGACGTTTTGACAAACAATCATCACCGAAGGCTGTCTTTATCATGGGAAAAGTTTCCACTGCAGACTTGCCAAGTTTCACCCAAAACTTGATGGCAATCCTTTGACCAAGGAGTGCTGCATTGCAGCTTGCACGGAAGACAAAAACGAGTTTCACGGAAAAGCCTTTCGTCACTCTCAGGAAGTTCAAAGACAACTAAGCGACCACGCGATCATAAGCTGACTTCCCCTCCAGCGATCCCAACCGGTCTGGGCGCGCTGCGACGTATAGTCACTTCACAATAAAATCACTGACATTACTTTTCGTACAAACCCTGTAGACAAAGAAGATAATGTAATCCCTCTGTGCAGTAGCAACACTGAGGATCTTAATCAACTTTTCAAGAGGGGAACTGAACCGGGAACCTTTGTGACACTTTTGTGCTTACTTGAGCCTTGAGATGTCCCGAATGACGTTCCTCAGCTTCTGTCTCTTCTCCTGTACAATCTGTGCCCAGTTTGGAGGGGGAAGCTTGGGTGAAGAAACTGCAGTGTCTGCAACTGTGGCTACACCACATATGGAAGCATGATTGCCCACCCCCTCTCTACTTTGAAACTTGCGCTGATATTCATCTTCAATGTGAAGGAGTTGAGAACCCGTCAGACCAATATCATCATCCAATAGGTAACCATGGCTAGCAGTGTCAAGTCTGTTTTCTTTGGTTAGAGGGTTCTCACCTGCATTTTCCAATATATTTGGAGCTTCCATTGCTTTTGTTGGAGATTTACAGAATATGTCTTTCAACTTGTAGATGTAACTTTCTGACTGATTTATTTCTTGCTTTTGAAGAGATTCTTTTGTCATAGAAGTGGAGGGATGTACTACACTTTGTGGTTCTGCTTTTGTTACTGGGTGTTTAAAGCTGTTATGAATTCTGTTATGAGGAGTTCCATGTTTATCCATGTCATTCTTAGTTGACGCAATGGAGCAGGGTGCAGTGTTCAAAGCTTCTTCATGTGTTTTCATGAAATGTTCTTCTGCAGTTACAGGTTCTGATGGACTCTTACTTTCTTCTGAATAATCTTCAGCTGTTGCTGCTTCCAAGGATTGAAATGCAGTTTTCATATTTGCTGCATCAGTTCTGTTTAGCATGGTGTGTTTTACATCACATATGCTTGTTGCCAGGTTTGGAGGTTCAGACTGATAATTCAAATTAGTGTCAGAAAGAACCTTTGGTGTCACTGTTTCCACATCTTCATGTTCTTTATATCTCTGTAGCTCGATGCTGTCCACATTGCAGATTTCTGGAACCTTTGCTGCTCCCGATGGGGACAAAGTTAGAGTCTCTATCATTTTGTCTGAATGAACTTCTGAATTGTGGATTGGAAGGTCATTTATTAAGAGACTTGACTCTTGGCATTCTGTTTCTGGTTCATTTCCAGAACTGGAAGCAATTTGCTTGGCATCTATAGCCATTAATTGAGAATGATTATTTTTGTCTCTTTCATCTTCTGCTTTAAGAATATCATCACTCATATATCCTTTCCCTTCACATTTGTTTGCCCCTGAGTTTTGTTCCGAAATTTTAATGAAGGTTGTTGCTGGTGACACTGGCTGTGCTTTTGTCAGTTCCATTTCCTTGGTCATGTCACCAGTTAATTGTGAGTGACTCGGATCTTTCAAGAGTAGATCAAGTGGTAATGGTGAATTTTCTTCACTTCCAGTTAGTGTTCTCATGGAATGCATGTACTGTGGCAACTTGACCATTAAACTCTGCATCTGGCACAAAACAGAGCCATAGCCTGGTTTCATTTTTGACTCCTCATTACAATCTGAAGGTTTATTCGTCGCTGTTAGCAACTTCTTGTTAGGAGGCAAAATTATGTTTTCAGATTTGTTCTTGATATTTTTCCCAGCTCCTTCTCGAACATTGACTATCATGTCTTGTTCTTTGTCTTGATCATCTTTTCTTAAAATAGGATTGTTTTCATTTTGTGTTTGCTTTGTAGGTGTCGGACATTGATATAGTTCCTCTAAATGTTTAGTAAAAGGTGTATTACACTTATTCCCATCAACTTTACACATGATGTTTGAAGTATCAGGGTCTTTATTTCCAGCAGTAATATCTGCACTGTTTATTAAACAAACAGAGTTACTTTCAGGCTTCTTGCCAGATTTTTGAACCACACAGCTCATTTCTACATTTTTCACTTCATCCCTCTGACTTCCTTCATGCTTACTCTTCTCACCTTGTGTTTCATTTGTTTCATTTTCTACATATTTCTGAGTGGACTGCTGACTCAGTCGGTTGTCTTCTTCGCCATTTCCATTGCAACCAACAGTCTTGCTTTCAGCATGCACTTTTCCTGCATCTATTCCCTTGTTGTCCATGGATATTTGTCCATTTTCAGTACTTTCATCACCACACACGTTTTCTGTAGAAGGTGCTATATCTTTCAGCGAAGAATTTTGGGCCGTTTTTTCTGTATCATAATCATAATGAACTAGCTTGAGGGGTGGTTGCCAGTTACGCAGGACATTTCTGCTTGATGTAGGATTTGCTGATAGTGCAGGCTGTGATAGACTAAAGGAAATATTTTTGTGGGGTTTTGAATCACTTTTTTGCTTCATAATTTTTGTTTTGCTTTTGCAGTTTTTCTGTTGCATTATTCTTTCAGAATTGGCCTTACTGTTTGAACTTCCTGCTTCGGTGCTCTTTGATTTAGGTTTCTTGGCTCTGTTTGACTCTGTTGGAGGTCTCTTTCCTATGAAAAGAACACATGCTGTTTTAAAAGCATTGAGTTTGATGTGAAATAATGTACTAACGCAATTGACTTCTCATACTTCGATGAATGTAAAACATCACAGGATATAAGTGAAAATAAAAAAAAAATATTGGACAACAGATTCATATAACTTCAGGGAAGTTTTATTATAATACTGGGGCATTTATTTAAGAAATCTTAAAAATAATTATGTGTACACACATGTGAAATTAATAATTTTAAAAATTATCTGTGTTAATTTAATGAATGTTATGTAGGCAGATTCAAACTTTGTGACAATGTTAATAACAATGTGTGTATGTATTGGTGATAATTCATGGGTGTTGTGTTAAGGCAGATGATGAAGTAGAAGGAAAAGAATTATAAATTAAATTTTTACAGAAGTTGAGCTTCAAAATGTGTTAATAGAGTTGGAAGAGAGATAATTATAATGGTTAAGAGGTGGTCCCAATAAATTATTGAATGAAATCAGAACTGTTAAGAGCTGCTTTCAAGAAAATCGCCATTATGTGCTTGGAGCCCACTGTGAAGAGTGGGCACTGACCTATGGTGGGTAAACTCTGGTACCAAATATGAATAAAATATGTCCAACTGTTCTGGAATTACAAAGGCGCACATACATAGTGACACATTGCAAAACCCAGTTTTTGTGTTTATGGGCTCTGAGAATATGTAAATCTGGCAAAATCTAAAGATCAATATTTTTATGAGCAAAGTACTTCATCATAGCACATATATGAGGAAATAAAACAGCAGAGAGAACAAGGATACCAATTTAAAGGAAAGAAATCCATAGCATTACCCAGAATAGGGTGCTTTGACTAGGTACTGCAAAACATCAAGAGGGGAATAAGGAGCTGGCAAGAAATTGAAAAGAGAGGTTTGAGAGAAAAAAATGAGATTGGATACTTTTTGTCTATTGACTATTTTGAATTTGAAATTAATTGAATTGACTTCACTTGAACAAAATAGAAACAGTGCTAGAAGGAGCTGCTTTGAGCCATTAGCAGCTCATCAAAGAAGCCAGTCAGTAACACAAAATTAAAAGACAAAATTAATCTAAATGCAGTTAGTGACTTATAAGAGACATTATATCCAATATAGAAGAAGGAATGTGCCAATGAGTTTTCCTTATACTAGTGTTTTCCCTGGTTTTCATGTAAAGTTCTGGCTTTATGGCCTGCCATTTTAGAAGCTGTATTTATCTATGTTAAAACACACTGACAGTAGAATGAAACGTTTTTGGCTTCAGTAATTTAAAAGTGTAATTGGAGGAGAACTGTTAGTAGCAAGAACAATAACAGTATAATGAACATCCTTAAAATACAATGCACAGTATAAAAAACGACCTGGTATTAAAATAATCTGAATTTTTACGTACTTTTCAGTCCCAATCTTGATTCAATAGCTGATAAAATTATGTTTGGAAATTGATGACTCTTCACTTTTTCATCAGACATTGCTGAAACAACCTAACATTTCAGTGCTTAGTAGTAAGAAATGAAAATTAATATTATCATGTGTTAAGCTCAAATTCATTCTTCATGACCCTAATGCGTTTGGGAAGGCAAAGTAAAACAGACCAAGTTCCATCTTAATATTCTTCTATCTCTTCTCAGTCTTCCAACTGAATTTTCCCCAGGAGTATTCCCCACCACATTTCTGTACTTCTTGTCTCTTTACTAATAGCCTTCTAGCATTCACTGCCCTAGCTGCACCAGATGACTTGTACGAGTCACAAAATTCACTGCTATCTAATATCCTAAATGATTCACCTCATTCATCTTAGGTTCCAATATATTGCACAGCATTAAATTTTCAGACATTTGCAATTTATGATGTTCTCTCCAAGTAAGGCAATGATTCACAGCCACGCAAAACTACTAGAAAAATTATTTTATGTCTTTTGATTTTATGTCATGTTGCCCAGACTTGGCTCTGGGGTTCACCCAGCCTATCCAATGGGTACCGGGGGTAAAGCAGCTTGGGTGAGAAGCTGACCTCTCACCTCCAATTAGTGTGAAGGTCAAGAAAATATGGATCTATACATCCACTCCCCAATATGTCTTCAAGGTGTAGTTCTTAAGTAGTTAAGCACAGGGACAGTTTTACCTTTACCTTGATTTATGCATTGTAGAAAGCAGTAATTAAATCATGAGCTGCATTTATGTTTATTAGCTACAGAGTTATTATTTTTAGCTAACTGCATGGAGTAGGGTCCTTCCTGAGAAGCTGCTATTTCAGAATTCCCCAATATTCTGTGGAACCCTAAGGTTCATTATCATTTTCACAAGAGCCCTCCACTGCTTCCTATCCTTAGCCAGATGAATCCAGTCCAAAGCACCCCATTCTATCCCTCCAAGATCCATTTTAATATGATCACTCCACCTATGATTAGGTCTTCCTAGTGGTCTCTTTCCTTATGGCATTCCCACTAAAATCCCATATGCATTCCCGGCCTCCGCATGCATGCTATATGCCATGTCTATCTCATAATCCTTGACGTTCATTCTAATTATACTCGGCGCATCACTATTATTTCTAAACATTCTTAAATGACTTTATTGCAAAGTTTAGCTGCATGTAATGTTTATGCACATAACCTACGTCTAGATCAATGTCTTTACTTTCTTGTAAGGTTATCTGTTACTTTTATGGTTTTTCTCCCCCAACAAATTAACATCGTCGACGTAAACAAGCTACAGAACTCATTTCAACATACTAATTAACATAATTTACACTGTGATGAAATCTTACTTTTCTTCGTATAGTTTTCAATAACCGAACTTGATAATTTTAGACTTCCCACAGTTTTATTATTTAAATGACGCGGAATAATTTTTAAACCGGAAATACAATGGATAATATTGTAATCGTTGTAATGTTTGGTTGTGTATGATCAAGCATACTCATCATCCTCATCATGCTTGATTATGTGTTGTTCCTGTGCTGACGGGGTTGTGTGATATAGATAGCGTATGTCATATGCAGGTAATGAAGTCTCCCGTATAATTAAATGTTATTCCAACATATTTAATCTCTGTCATGATTCATATAACGAAAGAAGACAGTTGGAGTTTTTTTAGGTTAGACCAAATGCATCCGATATCACTAAATTGGTATCAATTTCTTCGCCAAACCATGGGAAACTTTACGTGTGAATTTCTGTATTCCAAACAAACAGGCAGTATCTGAACAGTAGTGATTTCCACAAATATTATGTTTTTGGACATATTCTATCGTTCTGTCTCCTATAAGAAAGCACCGTTCCGTTTATATTTCAAAACGTTTCGGAGACTAGAGTTTGTCTGTCTTCAGGTCCAGAGATAGGGACTAGCTCTACCGATTGGGCCAAACTGAATAGATTTTACTAGAAGACGGAGACAGAATCCAGTTTCTGAAATGTTGTGTTCATACAAACACAGGACGGTGGATAATGTCCAAAAACATAATATTTGTACTAATGTACCATCGTCACAAACTTTCAGTAATGTTTTCTCTTATTCAGAAGGGGAATTCATGGCCGTCTGCAGTAGCGTAGGAAGAGCAACGTTTAACAAATATATATCCTGGTACTGAAGTAATGTATAATGCTAGGAATGGTGGATTGTTATACATGGCTTCAACTTTTCATTTCCTCTCTTGGAAACTTGATAAAAATTGTGATTGATGTTAATAATAGTGTGTCAGATTTCTGGGTGTCTAAGACAGACTACCAAAATAGTCCAGTGTGAATTTTCACCTTAGGTAAAGAAATTGGGTGCCAGAGTTTGACTCCCAGGACTTATATTCCAACATCCCAGAAAAATTACAATATTCCTGTAGTGTACAGCATATATTATTATTACATTGTAATTATACATGTTATAATAGTACCTCAATGAGTTACTACTACCAAAATTTATTCAAGCTCTATTCTCACAGTTTCATACGCTTCTTTCCCATTGATATTTGTTCTTGCATCCTATTAATCTAACACCTATTTATGCATCTCTTGTCTAGAATTTGGCCCCTCCAAATCTTTGTTCACATCTCAACATGGGGTGTGATCATCTTCTTTGCTACATATGGGACAAATCCCATGTTCATTGTTTCTCCCAACCCCTTTCAATTTCCAAGCTCCAGTTTTCTGCCAAAGTTCACTCCAGGTTTCTACTGTACATGGTTGAGTGTATTTCTGCTTCTTGCAGTTGTGCCTTAAACTATTATAAAATGCTAATGGGCTTCTCGCTTTTGCTGTAACTTCCATAATTGCCTATCTGTACCACCACATTTTTTACTCATTTGTATTCCAACATTCTTATGGTCATTCTTTTCATTCTCCCAAAAATTATCTATGCCCAGCTTTTCTGGGTCCTGTTTAATTTTCCTCATCTGCTTGTTACTACCCTCCTCTTTTTTTTTGTTTTGTTTTAGTTTGTGTTATTATTTTGTCTTGTCAAGACCAGATGACTGTTGTATGCTTTTGTGTGGTCTTTCTTCTTCCGAAGAATCTGTTGTATTTCATCATTGGAGATCTGAAAACAAGATAACACTGTAACAGTCAGAGGGGGGTGGGGGTTGAAGTAACTGCAAGGGCAGGCACAGTGCCCTTTAAATCTTCAGGGCCTTTTGATGCAGAAAAGGCTTTTATTTATTTATTTACGTCATATCCATGGATCATTATACATGATATAGGACAAGTCAAATACTTTACAATAATAAATAATAATAATAATATAATTATATAATAATATACTCAGATAATACAATGATGATTCTAATAATAGAACTAATATAATCGTTTAACACACGACACCGCTGTATGCCTCAAGACCCGATCCTTCTATCCTGGCACAAAATAACCTGGTATCCTCGATCTTGTTCCTGTAAGAAAAAAAATACAGAATAGGGCAGTAGGCATTCCTATAACATTACTAATATTAAAATCTACAAGTTAATTATTCTTGGAATATATGTTTACAAGTGATTAGAACTAGTATTTGCCTCCAAACAAGAGAAACTCATCTATACTATAGAAACAATGATCAAGTATGAATGTCTTCAAAGTCTTTTTAAACTTGTATACTACTGATATCTCTTTAATATACTGTGGCAACTGATTTAACATACAAAGTCCAATATTATTGAAATTGTTTTTGTATAGACTCATATTACATGGCACTATGAACAAGTCATCTTTTCTCCTTGTATTGTGTGAGTGTACTCCTGAATTGGTTATGGGAACATTCAAATTGGTATTTGTGTAAACTAGAATTTCATATATATATATACAGTAAAACTTGGTTATAGCAACATCGGTTTCTGCGACACCTTGTCTATTGCGTCAAATATTCAATGGTACGAACCAATTCCTCATAAAGCAACTGTTTTTATACCTTTCTTAGTATGACATTCACAAATGCATCAACCTCGTATGTAACATCATTTTCATTCCTGAATTTCTCTGATATCGTGGGAAAGTTCGATGTGTCTGCCCACCCTCACTTTCTCTACTTGCTGACGTGACTGTCCTGGAAGAATATGACTGCGGGCTGGAAGAGGAGCGTGGGTTTTATGCGAAAACAGGGTGTGGGGTGGGACTGCGTGAATAGTGCAAGAGGACGCGGCAGGTTGTTAACTGCATTCCTTTCCTAGAATCTCGTCTAACAGGACCTCACATTGTCTACTTACCCTGTAGTGTTCCAGACTAAACCCAGAGAAGTGCAGTAGCGAAAAAATGGCAATGAAAAGGAAAGTTTTAAGCATTGAAGAGAAAGTTGAAGTGATTCGTGAAATATTGTGTGTATTGTCAGTGAAAAGCGCTGTAATATGTCTTTGATATTACACATTTGGGCAATTCCACGTTAATGTTACGTTAGTCTGTACTTAACTACGTATTTCACTAAAAAATGCAACATTTTAACTCGGTTTTTGGTAGATTTTTACGTCACTAACATAAGGCTACTGTGGAAGTGCCCATTTCGGTTACAACGACATTCGTTTATAACGACAATATTTTTAGGTCCCTTTGATGACGTTATAACCAAGTTCTACTGTGTATACACAGACATGGTAAAGGTAATACAGTAAAACCTGTCTTAAACAGAATCTCAAGGGACCAGAAAAAATTTCTACTGAAGCCAGGTTTCCATTTAATCAAGGTATAGTATAATAACTAAACCAGGACATAAATGTATTTGAGACAAAACAAAACAACATGCTCATTAATTTATTCAGACTATAATCATTGAACACATGCAAACATTACACTGAACAGGAAAAAATTGCAGTACTCACTTTTTATAATTTTACCAGAACTCTGGCAGTTTTTTGCACGCAGTTTACCCCCTTGGCTGCCTGACTTTCCACAAACACTTTAGCTTGAGAAATTAGAGTAAGCATGTCTGAATCATTCCGTTGCACGGCAAACTCCTGCACTACCTTTAAACTGTTGGCAGCATCCTGATAAATCTTCACTCTACACTTTTCTTCTTCTATCACAATGTCATTTTCCTCTTCTTCCTCTTCCTCCTCCTCCTCTCTTCATTTTCGATTTTCTCTAAAATTCTCAACTAATACATCGATATCCATTGTGTCTGGTTCTGTTTGCACATGTTTGTCTATGTTGATGTAGTCCTTAGCATTGCAGTTACTGAAAGCAGCTTCATTCATTCAATGTAAGTCCTTCTGGTCATTCTCATTTTCTACACTAGGAGTAACTTCTACCATAGAAACACTTTGTCCAGTTTCTGGTAACAACTTCTTTACTGCTTGACTTATCCAAATAACCGCATCTGGAACCGAGACAGTTCTTGCAAGTTCAGAGGCGGATGATGTAGAATTTATATTGACGAGCAAAGATTGCATTAATAATTTATGCTAGTTGACCTTAACATTCCGAATGAGGCCCTGATCCATTGGTTGAGAAACACTAGTGGTGTTTGGAGGGAATCAAGCAAGTTGCACATTGGAAAGTTCGATATGGGGGTGTCACGTTGCGTTATCCAAAAACAAGAAAACATGCCGGTTTTGCATTTTTATTCTACCATTGAAGGCTGTTAACCATTCCTCCATGATCTGTGATGTCATCCATGCCTTTTTGTTGGATCTCCACTCAACGGGAAGTTTCTGTATGTCCATGTTTCAGAAGCATTGTGGTTTTGCTGCCTTGCCAATCACCAAGGTTTTCTCAATTTCACCTGACATAAAACCACATTGAAAAACAGTCAAGTCTTTCTTTGCACAGTTTTTCTCCCAAACATTTTTCACCTTTCAGACGTAACGATTTATTCAGAAGCGCGCAGAAGAACAGTCCAGTCTCATCACCGTTTGCTATGTTTTCAGGTTCATATCCCTCGATTATGGATGGCAATTTAGCTTCCCATTCCTCAATGGTCTCACTATTTACATCACTTGATTCACCACAAAGTTCATTAAAAACCATCCGATGTCTTTTGCGAAAACTCTCCAACCATCCGTTAAATGCTTTGAATTCAGTCTTCCCCAGTTTTTCAGTGATTTTTTAGCATATTCCTATGCCATAGGATCTGACAACCGGTGATTTTTCGCCCTCACACTGAAACCACTCTCACACTATTTCATTAACGTTTTCATTTGCAGTTTTCTTAAGTTCTCTTTTTATTTTTCCATTAGCACAAGTTTCCCACCACTTCAAAATTTCTGTTTTCTTCTTTAGAATCTCATACACTTGAGTTTTACTGACGTTAAACATCTTCATGATCTGCTTAACAGACAGCTTATCTCGCTCACTCGCGTGAATCACTTTTATCTTGTGTTAAGATCAAGCACAACTCTTGTCTTTGTAGCCATGATGACAACTGCTAGACTAAAGTAAAACTGTAGGCCTAGAGCCCTTACTGAATACAATTTCCAGAAGGGGAAAACAGTTCTGGTGAGTTTCAGTGCAGGTAGTGGAGTACCATTAGACGCTTATTTTAAAGAGTCAGGGAAAACTAAATTCTGTAGAATGCATAGGATGCCTAAAATTA